CCCTTCATCCAGCTTAATTAGTGGTACCTGAAGAAGCTTCTGCCGATAATTCCTCTTCATTGCTTCTCTAACGTCTTTGTCGAGGGGTTGGATGAGAGTCGTCACATTTTGTGGAATGAACACAGCTAGTATATCATCACTAATCAATTCACTCGCATCTGAGTGGGATCGTGCGTTGCCCAACAACAGCAGAACTTTCCGGGGCAGATTTTTGTTTATTAGGTAGGCATCAATGACTGGCACCAAGTCATTAAAAAACCAGTCCTTAAAAGTATTACAGTCCATCCATGCATTGCGTTGGTTGCTATAGATTATAGGTAGGCAATTTATTTTGACATTTATGAATGCCCTTGGATTTCCGGATTTTCCAATTAAAAGAGGTTTTAATTTTAATGAACCAGAAGCATTGTTGCAAATCATGATTGTGACTCTCGCTTAGCTTTTTTGAACCTGGTGCAGTTCCTTTATTTTTAACCGCTAATGTTTTCGATGGAAGCTTTTTAAAGTTAAGGCCTGTCTCATCATAGTAAAATATTTGGTCTGAAGTTAGTCCATCTTTAAGGTTAATGTCTCGTATTTTAAATAAAATGTTCCAATTTCAGTTGAGTCGGCAGAAAGTTTTTCGCTGCAAATATTCAATTGTCGGATGCCACATTTCTTTTTCCATAAGTCAATCCATCCTTCACAAGCACAAACATTTTCTCCTCCATCCATAAACTTCTGGAATTCAATAGCTTTTGCTTGAAGACCAGAAGAACGACGCCTCAGGAGTTTGTTTATGGTCCCCTTTCTTCATAGTCTTCCGGAAAAATCCACTACTACCACTCACATTTCGGTTGACCCACTGTTAGATTTCATTCCGTAACGACATAGACAAAACACGACACAGAAATTTCTGGAAATATGGTGGTGACCAATTTCTGACAATACCGACTCGACATCAGCTTGACCTAAAGCATACCTTACACACAATTTTCTTCTTATCAATAATCCACAATTTTCAATGGATTATCCATATAACAGATGCCGATATAACTTGTGACCAACCTTTTTGTTGCTACTTGATATTGTGATCAGTCAACAAGTACGATTAAAAAGTAAAATAGAGGCAAAATTTTGCCTCTGTTAACCGAGGGTCTCTGATAACCTAGACTCGGATAATCGCGAGTCTTCTGTACCAGTTAAAGCACCGGTGTTATTACAGCATTAGAAGAAAATGTGATTTAGTTTTGCCTACTGAAGATTCTTGCTGAAGCAGAAAGATATTCAAAAGAATTTGCGAAGCTGGTAGTTAGTGAAGAATAAACACCTGATCAAGTATTTAATGCAGACGAAACAGTATTCTTTTGGAAGATAATGCCAAATATATATATATATATATATATATAATATATAATATATATTCGTATGAACTTTACACATTGCAGTTTTTACATAAAGAAAAGGAAGAAAAAAGTGACAATAACAATAATAAATAAGTAAGTAAATAAGTAAACACTGACACAGAACATATAAAATTAAAATTTTTAAAATTAAGTCGAAGGTTACATCCTCGAAGCCAATTTGTCGCCTTGGGAGTAAGTTGGTGGATTTCTTGAAAGCTGCCAAAGAACTTGGTGGCTGGACACTCGAAGACGATGTGGTTAATTGTTTGTTCAGCGGCGCTGCATTTGTCACATTCCGAACTGGCATTTATACCCCATTGATTCAGCGATTGGTTACAAATTCCATGACCAACTCGTATTCTATTTAGGTTGCACCATTCACGACTGGGAAGAGAAAAGCCGTCTGGTTTGATTGTGGGGTTTTCTATCAGATTGGAATTTCTGATGTCTGGATTCCATTCGCCCATCCAGTGCTCTTCGGTAGTGAAAACAGCCAATTTTGTAGCAGTTCTAGTAGGTGGATGTCTGGATTTCAGTCTTAACTGCCTTTGGTGTAGTTCAGCGATGTCTGTATTTGTTCTTGAACTAGAGTGTTGAGTGCATTTTATTTTTTATTAAAATAAAAAAACTATTTTTTTATTTTAATGCCAAATAAAACATTAATTTCTAAATTTGGATTTCTAATGTCTAAATCTGGATTTAAGACAGCAAGGTATAGAGTAACAATGCTGCTTTGTTCTAATGCATCTGGAGTTTGTGTTTGAAGAAGAAGTTTCAACAAGGACGTGACATTGAATTTGAAAAATCATAGTGAAGGTTTAGGAATAGCAAATGAGTTTTGTTAATGCAATGTGAATTGCAGTGATTTTTTTGTTGACAATCAAAAGAATTTTACAATTTTGGATTACTAATCATAAAAAAAACAATAAAAAAAATCCTTTTTATCATTTTTACATAGGATACCTGCATTTTGATCTTGATTTTTGGCTTTCATTAACGAATTTGGAGTTTTAGCTTCCTTGACGTAAGTCAGTAAGTTATCAGGGATTAGTGCAGTATTTCTTCTTTTTTTTTGGTTACATTTCCATTTTATTTGCACTTTCGTCGGATGTGGGTTTACTTTTCTTCTTGGAGTATAAGAGCGACCTAGCAAGCGAAAACTTAAATGACAGGTAATCCGAATATGTTTTTTGGGAGTTTCTGCAGCTAAACAATTTTTCTTGTATTATAGCCAACTAGCTGCAGCATAAAAATCAATAAAGGCGTAAATACATCGTATTGTCCATTTATTTGTTCTACTGCTCATAGGGTACTTTGACATAATTCTTTTCAGCAAATCTACTCCACCCATGCTTTCATTGTAGTGCTTAATCACTGCTGGACGATTTATTTCTATGTATTTTTTATCTTTTACTGACCAACGTCTACACAATCCCAAGGGTTCAACTCAAAATGCTGATGAAGCCATATAGATTGCTTTGGAATCAAACCATTTTGTAACAACTAATTTGTTGTCTTTGTTAACGAGCATATCGTGGGAGCCTCTTCCTGATTTTCTTAGATCTTTATCTGTCTTAAATGTCATATGTCAGTTTTTGTTATTCTATTTTCATTAGTGTTCCTGTTACATATAGTTTCCATGAATGTAATCAACCAATATTTTTGACGTAAAATATCTGTCAACGAAAATAGACGCTCCTATTTTCGCTCCTATAGACGCAAAAAGACCCTACAGTCATAAGTAAAAATTGATCTTATTACCGACTCATACACTGTTACTTTAGCCAAAAGGGTATTTCAGCCTTAGACACTAAACTACTCCAAGCTATGTGAAATCGCCACTTTTGCCAAACTCTGGCGCTTTTTTAGATGAGCTTTATACGACAACTTGGTTGTTAGAAGCATTCCCAAATCATTATAGATATTCACTACCTCTAATACTCGATCATTCAGATTCCAAGATTCCCTGATCACACCACCTCCTCTTTTGAATACAAGAATTTTGGATTTATCTAAATTTATTTTTATATTTCACATCCAGCAGTATTTTTAAGGTTTATTAATCATCCACTGTAGCACCTTTGGATTGACTGCTATCAAAACTAAAGCATCTGCATATAATAAAAGTATTATAATCAAACCATTTATCTCCAAAACCGCGACCCAATGCTTCATGTAGGTCATTCAAGAAAAGCGCAAACAGTAATGGACTTAAAAGATATCCCTGTCTCACTCCTACATTACAGTCAAACCATTCAGATAGACCTTCCCTTGACCAGACTGCCGATTTTGTACTCGCGAAGATACTTTGTAACAAATTAGCACTTAACTAGATAATCCTAAGAGCCTCAACTTGTAAAAAATGGCCTACCGATCAACTGCATCAAAAGCAACACCAAAGTCTAAAGCAGCAGTTACTAAAAGCAGTAGCAGTAAAGATTTATATCATACTTGTAAGATTAAAAATGTTGTCTATAGTCTTCCCAATACCACTAATGAAAAAATTAATCTAATAAAACTTTAGATTTTAATCTTATAAAACAAACTTGGATACTTTTACATCGTTTTGACAAAAAAATTGCTAGAGAGGTGATATCTAAGAGAATTGCCCCAACCACTACCCAAATATGGTGGTTTGACGATTGAAAAAATGTCCAGCTTAATAGAGCAAATAAAATTTAGTCACCCCGACTATAGATGGTTCTACAATGGCGTTTAAGAACAAAATGTTAAAATTCGAAACAGAAAAGCGAAAAAGCTGAACAAAAATAGTGGATAAGTGTGTTATGTACACAAAAGTCTACTTTCACAAAATTTCGCTGTTTCTTTCTATTATTTTACTTAACAAGAGAAAATATCCTAAAAATTATCTATTTTTTAGGGTCTTACTCATTGAAATCAAAAACAAAATATAAAAGTTCTAATTCAAAACGCGTTTTGTTAATTTACTCAAAATGACACTTTTATCCACTCATATCTTTAATTAACAAACAAACTGCCAATCCTCCCTCGTACACAGTAGCAAAGATTGTGAATCCCGACTACAAACGGCAACATCGCCGCTTTTTCTCCTGTAGCCAGTAAAGTCACTGCTGTTTTCTGAAAGTGGTGAAAATCGGGGACGTTCCTTCGCGCAATTATAGCCCTTATGTAAGCCACAACTTCGGCGCTTTGACAGGTTGAAGAAAGAGACGGAGGATTAGCACGTTGATTGAGTTTTAATGATTTGTCTAAAAATATTAAATACATAATTAGTCCAAGCTTCAAGCTGTTCGGAAGTGCCCATTAATTCGCTAATCATGATGCAACAGTACGATACGGATATACAGTGCGATACGACCACAACTCCTTTCTCGGTCAAAGATATCTTGAGCATAAATAACATAAACGAAAGTGACTATTACTCGAACAATGTCAAAAAGGAACATAGTGAGTCAATACATCCGCAGTACTGGGATAACGGTGGGTATTACGGGATCAACGAGCAATACGGGTATTACATTGGCAGTGAGGGCGAGAATTATGTGAATAGGAACTACTGGAACTGTGATAGTTATTTAGAAGGGAACCAGAACCATTTTCAGCACCTGAGCAACTTTTATAATACGCAGATCAATGAGCAGACCCATAGGAAACGTTAAAGATGACTCGTATATTAAAGTGGAGAGCCCAAGTAAGTAAATACAACACCTCTAATACTTTTATTAAATAAAACAAGAAAACACAAGTTTGTTCACCTAACGTGATCGAACGTGATCTTCTTTCAAGACCTGTCTCCTATCGGTGATTCGATATCATCATCACTATATTTACTCTATCTACTGCTGTTCTGAAGAGTGCTATTATATTGCATTGAAACCTTCCTCTCTTTAGTCTTTTAAATTCTTCAACCATGACACCACAGCATAGAAAAAAATTATTGTTCCCTAGCTGTGATGACACTTTCCTTCTTCCTATACTCCTTTCTACTCTTATCTTTCCCTGTATTGTCTATCTTAGCATTTCATATCGCTCGCTCTCCTCTCATTACGTATGCTAGATAGTCTAACTGTCTCATTTTTAGTATGTGTTCATTTTTTCGTATTCTTTGGTCATTTCACGCAATATTCCGTTCTCCTCTACATCCTTCTGTAACCCCACATTTCAAATGACTGTAGATTATTTATATGTTATGTGTCAGCTTTAAAGTCTGTATTCTAATATCGAAAACATGTAACATCTCATTTTTACAAACACCACACTTCTTGTCATTTCTATCCTGATCCTTATTTCTGTTCTTTGGTCATTTTTTTTGTAATCCAGGTTCCCAGGTATTTGAATTAAATAATTCTTTCTATCGGTGCACCTCCCAAACGTATATATATATTTATTTTCTTTATTATCATGTATTTAGTCGTTTTATATTAATTTTTATTCTGTATTTTTCACAGAACCATTATAACAATAAGTTAATTTTTACATAAAACTTAAAATTTGGTGAAGGTACCTAAATTTTTGACACTGACAATGATCTTTCACCAATTTTTTATCTACCAAATGGGTAAAAAACTTTTTATTAATAAGGTTTGTTGGATTAGTCTGAACTGAACGTCCATGGTCTGAACGGTGTGAAATTTGAAGGGTGGATCATGGTTTACTTACTGTGTATTTACTTAGCACTGGTTATTTGTCCACGGACAAATGAGTGCTATTTTTTTCTCATAATATATAAAGTTAGCAAAGAATTGTGCACCTGGGAAAGTCACGACTATTCTCGAAAAGAATCGTGGATGGAATCTGTATTTACATGTAATTATCAAGTTCTGTTGTCTTGTTGGATAATTATGGTTAACAGAATTAAGGGTGGTTTTGGAATTTTGTTTTAACAGGAAGTTGTAAAATCACTAATAAATTTAACACATTTATATAGCATGCAAAGTTCATAGTTTGTTTAAGATATTCACGATATGATTGACTTCTATCACTATTAAATATTAGACAATATATATATAATATGCCATAATGTGAGTAAATTAATGCGAGATATAGATCAGTTGTTCAATATTAACACAATTTTTTTAATTGAAGGAGAGAATTGTTTTTACATTTCGAATATTTTAATACATGCCATGTTGCTCTCTAAAATGTTCTATCTAGTATATAAATCTGTCTACCACTTCTTAATTTGCCACTTGGTGGACGTGCGGTAGATTATTATTTACCCTGACTACGATTATTTTTGTTTTTCCGGTGTTGATCTGGAAAGTCCAAATTCTTTGCTTCTCTGGCTTAGTCGTTCGATCATGGTAACCAGTTCGACTTTATTCGCTGCTGGTACCTATATAAGTGTGAGTATCACAGATTACTGATTTTTCTGCTTCTTACAGAGATTCTTACATCTGATTGGTCTAGTACTTTCCTCATTCATTATCACCACCTAGCCCTTCGCGTCCACTGCTGGTCATAGGCCTCCCCCATTTTGTCCATTTTTCTCTATCTTGAGCACTTTTCCTCCAATTTCTTGACATTTTCTTGAGATGTGTCTGGCGCAGTTCTATTGCAGTTTGGCAATCCGGGAAATTACATTGGTAACTTCTATTCTTCGTCTTTAGTTTTCGTTTTACTCATCGTCCTCATTATATATTTATAATTATGTTGTATAATAATGGTGATGTAATGTGTCTTACGACGTTGTCCGACTCCCAAACGCCACTGTATTCTGTCTTGAGTTAGGTCTTCGTCCAGATTTCGAGCGCTAATCGCTTTCCTAACTCCCAGATTCCAGCTCTGTGGTGGTCTTCCTCGTTTCCTCTTTTCTGGGGGTTGCCACATCATCGTTTTTTTTAGGCAATCTTTCGTCCCCCATTCGGCTCACATGTCCATACCATATGAGCTGTTTTCTCTCAATATCCTCAACTATAGTGCCCTCTATACCCATTTGTTGTTTTATCACTTCATTCCGTATTCTGTCGCCTCTTAATATTCTCATTGATCTTCTGATGGCATCCATTTCCGTGGCTTCCACCTTTTTCTTATATTTCCAATCATATTTCTTATATTTCTATATATAATCATGTACATTAACTTTATCATAATCATCAATGGCGCTACAACTCTTCGTGAGTCTTTGTCGCGTTTACTATTGCCTTCCATGTTTGTCGGTCCTGTACCAGTAATTCCCATTGTCTCACTCCCATTTTCTCTAGATCTTCTCTGACTGCATCTTTCCACCTTTTTCTAGTCCGCCCTACAGACCTTCTTCCCCCTGGCCTTTCCCAGAACACGTTGTTTATAAGGCGATTGTCGTTACTGCGTATCACATGTCCTGCCCATCTGAGTCTATTGGCCTTTATATATCTGACTAGATTTTCTTTTCCGAATAGTGACTCTAGCTCGTTATTGTATCTGCCCCTTCATTCGTTTGTCACGCTGTCTCTGCAAGGGCCATATATCATTCGAAGAGTGTTACGTTCCACACCAGCATTAACTTTAGCTTGAGCAGTTTCTATCATAAAAAGATTTCTTGTTAGGTTAACTAGGTGGTTACTTACTCTGATATTTAGTATTTTACTCTATATAGAGGATCCCATTTTACTGAATCGAAAGACTTTGTGTAATCAACAAAGCACAGTCGCATTGGTATATTGTGTTCACTTGCTTTTTCTATTATCTATCTACTTAGTATTCAATATCGGGTCATGCATTCCTTTTCCTGGTACAAATAGAGAATGAGAAGGAATAAGGACAATGGTGCTGCAATTGCTGCATAGGGTTAGCGATCCTTTTTATGAATTGGAATAAACATTTACCTATCCATATTATATTGCACATATTCCGTATTACATCTATGCCAATGTCATCAACTGCTTTTAGTGTCTTCGCTGGTTTGCCATCGATCGCTGGGTTTTTTGTGTTTCTTAGTTGGTTGAGCACCTTCTATACTTCTGTTCGTAAAGTGATTGGTTCTGCCCTCTGATTTCAGGTTTGTTTTTCTTAAATTTTGAGACTGATGTATCTTTTGAAGTGTTTTTGTTTTTGAAGAAATCATAAGATTTCCTACTTGGCGAAACTGAATTCAAATTTTTATCACTGAGCTTTCTAAAACTTGCAAAGCAGACAGAAATTCGTGTGAATTTAGTTTTTAGTACTCAAAATCGAGTAAAAAAACTGAAACAGCAACTTAGAGCAACTGCATATGTAGTATAATAGCAAAATGTTTACCTTGATACTATTTCTATAATCAGCATTAGCCTTTTTTAATTCCACTACAGCACATAGACCTCCCTTGCTTGTATCCCCAGTGCACAGTCTTGTGCAGTATGGATCCAATTTTCGTCACCTGTCGTAGATCATTTTTTTATCTCTTGTAAAGATTAGGTTTATCTACTCTTGGTCTCCACTCGGTTTACTTGCGTGCTCACCTTCTATCCTTCATCCTTGCCACGGTGCCAACTCATCTTTATTTCTTCAATCTGCAAGCTCTTTCCACAATATCTAAACTGGTACTGTTTTGTAGGTGTTGGTTTCACGGATCCAGAATCAATAAAAAACAAGATCAGAAGAAACGAGTACATTGCAATAATAGAGCTAATAAAATATGAAATAGAATAAATCATATAGAAGTTATCCTTTACTCCCTTAGCCGATTCTCATCAGCAGAGTCTCATCCTTAATTATTTCTAAGAGTTTTGTTCTGTGCCTTCCTTTTCTTCAACTATTATATAAGTCAAGTTATAAGTCACATTATAAGTCAAGTTTCCTCTATACAATACCTTGTACCTGTCTCTTCTTTTTCATTATACCTATATGTATGTTTCGACAAGTGTAGTCTTTGTGCTCTTAACCTGTACAAAACTGTAAAATTAGATTTTATTATTTTTATTTAAAAAGTCTGCACATTTATTTCATTTGGCTACATTTTCTAATGTAGCCAATGACGACCAGAGATAAGGGGTTACTACGAATCTTTGAAAGACAAGTATTGAGAACCGTATAGAAGGCGATGTAATTTCCAACTCTATAGACTTTTTGGTAATGCAGATATCGTAAAAACCATCAAAATAAATCTTCTAAGATGAGTAAGCCACGTTATGCGGATGGGTAAAACCACAGCCTCCTACAGTTACTGTAGGAGGCTGTGGTAAAACTGATACTTCTAAAATATCCATGTTAAATAGGCCGGTTAGAAGAAGAGGGCGACCTAAACTCAGGTATCTGGACTATATGCAGGACGATTTGAGGGAGATTAATAATTTAAATTCCTTCTTCCTGTGATATTTTTTAATTTTATATATTGGCTCTTTTGATGATTTATTTGCAAATTGTATTCATTTGCTGTGTCAATTAGCCTTTTAACAATTTTGTCTAATTTCATTTTGTCGCATCCCAGTAAAAGCACCACATCATTGACATATGCTAAATACTGATGACCTTTGGCTAATAGTGTCCAATTTGGGTTTATTATACCGCTTTCTCATAATATGATTTTTTTAATATAAAATTGAAAAGTGTTGTAGATAAGGGAGTCTCTTATCTTAATTTCTTGTTAATTCTGCTGTATGTTTGTCTTTTCTTGTTGGTACTATTAATTCTTTTATGTATTTTGCTGGAATTTTAAATTACCTTAAAAAATTATTAATATCTCGTAATTTTAGTATCGTAGTTATTTATTTACAGTGTACAACGGGCCTTGTTGCCTAGGGCAAAAAGTTACATTTAAAATACTTTGTTATTTTTCACTAGAGATACTTCTTTTGCCTTCTGCTTCTCTTTTCCTGTATAAGTCCCTCTAAACCTTTTCTATATATCATATCCTAGGTCTTCTACTGAAATTTGTTGTGCCTTCACCTTATGTCGTAATTTATAATGTCATAAAATATGCTGCTTTTAAATCTATAAAAATAACAAATTTTTATTTGTTTCATATTCGTAAAACTTCGAAAAAATTTCTTTAGCAGATATATCTAGTAAGTTGTTTATTTACTTTGTGAAATGTCAATGCTCCTCAAAACTGATCTAATCATTTTATAGACTATGTAGTTTATATTAATTTTATTTATGTATAATCTGTCTTGTTCTCTTATTTATTATACATTGGTAGTAATACATTTTCCAAATTTGTGGTTCTGTTACCCATTCTTTTAATTAGTTCGTATAGTTTCGTTTCCAGCAAATTTCCTGCATAGTTTAAGCTTTCAGCCGAAATTTGACTTTCTTCTAGGCTCGCATTGTTTTTAAAATATTCTAACATTTCATTTTGGTTGACTTTTCTATTTCCATGTCCTCCGTTATGTTTTCTATCTTCTCTTTCATATAAAACTTTTATCCATTCATTAATTCGTCAAAATGTTATTTCGATATATTAATTAGATGTCTACTGTTGTAGAGTGTTCTATTTTTATTATGACTTAATTTCCTACTTAAATAATAATATAATACATATTTTTTTCAATTACATTACATTTTAATTGTTTTTAAAATTGCTGTTGATATTTTCCATTTTCAATCTTTGCTTTATATTAATAGCATTATTACTCTACAGATTAAAGCAAATAGTTTAAACTGAATGTACTGACCCTAATTTTTATTATTGTTCTAGAAATCCAACAAGTGACGAGTTCAAAGACCGAATTGCGGAAGTCAGGTCGACAAAGGACAAAACGAAAGCCTCGAGTACTCTTCAGCCAAGCTCAAGTCTACGAATTGGAGCAAAAATTCAAACAACAGAAGTACCTGTCGGCGCCCGAGAGAGAACAGATGGCACTAGGGTTGAAACTGACACCCACGCAGGTCAAAATTTGGTTCCAGAACAGAAGGTAAATCAAATATTTGCATTATTTCTTTGTATACAAAACAGAATCATTAGAGTACGTAATGGTCTACATTTAATTTTTAAATTTTTTTAATCGCGGTATCTAGTATATGACAAAATGCTTATGACTTTTTTATTACTAAATAGGCATTTACCCTCAACTGGTGTCGTAGTGGACCCCATTTTTTTGAGAAACTTCTTCTTCTTCAAGTTCCACTCCTATCGGAGATTGAAAATCATTCTGGCAATTATAATTTTATTGGTTACTCGCCTGAATAGTTCAATTGAACTGCATCCAAACCATTCACGGAGATTGCGAATCCACGAGATTTTACGTCTTCCTACGCTTCTTGTGCGCTTGATTTTACCCTGCATTATATTCCTTAGTAGTTCATCTTTTTCACCTCTCATGATGTGCCCCAAGTATTCCAATTTCCTGATCTTTATGGAATTTAAAACTTCGCATTGTTTTCCTAGTTGTTCGAGAACTTGTTCGTTTGTTTTGCGATCCATCCATGATATTTTCAAAATGCGAGAATTTTGAGAAATTTGAGAAACTAATAAAGACATAATTCATTATTTCGTTCTTCTTCTTAACGTGCCTTATCAAGTTCCCTTGACGTTGGCGATTAACATGGCGAAACTGTCTCTGTCTCGAGCTGTTCTAAAGAGTTGCTCAGCTTTCCATATTCCTGTCCACTCCCTGATATTCTTCAACCAAGAGGCCTGCTTTCTATCAATTCCTCTGCGTCCTTCAATTTTAGTCATCATAATAAGTTGAAGAATATTATATCGGTCTTCCCTTACTACGTGTCCAAAATAGGCCATCTTTCTACATTTGATGTTATCAAGCAGCTCGCGAGCAGCATTTGCTCTCTCAAGGACTGTCACATTTGTCAGCATAACCGTCCATGGAATTTTTAGTATACGTCTGTGCAGCCACATTTCAAAGGCCTCCATACGATTAATGGTGGATATTTTTAATGTCCATGCTTCGACACCGTATAAGAGGACTGACCAAATGTAGCATTTAACCATGCGCTTTCGAAATTGAAGTTTCAAGTTATCATTACAGAAGAATGACCTCATTTTTAAAAATGTCATGCAGGCTATCTCGATTCTACATTTTATCTCCTGATCTGGATCTAGTTGTTCAGTAATATGGCAACCAAGATATTTAAAACTGGACACTCTTTGAATTATATGATCATCAATATATAATCGTGCATCTTGATGTGAGAAACGGCTAAACACCATGTGTTTTGTTTTTGAACAGTTTATGTTTAGGCCAAAGTCTCTTCCCACTGTATCAATGGCATTTAAAAGGCATTGTAATCCATTCATGTCATCACTTAAAATATCTGTATCGTCTGCATATCTGATTGTATTTATCAGAATTCCATTCACTTTCACGCCCCATTCCAAATTATGCAGCGCTTCTTTAAATATTCTATCTGAATATAAATTAAATAACAGTGGGGATAGTATACAACCCTGTCTGACACCTCTTTGTATTTTACAAATTTCTGTTGATTTTCCGTTTATGCAAGCTGTCTCTGTTTGACGCCAGTATAACTTTTCTATGAATCGTATGTCTTGACTATCAACTCCTTTATCTTTTAATATTGTGATTAATTTGTGATGCTGTACTCGATCAAAGACATTTTCATAGTCAATAAATACAGCAAAGACATCTTTTCTTTGATCTCGACATTTCTGCAGTAATACATTTAGTGCAAAAAGGGCGTCCCGAGTTCCCAGTCCATTTCTGAAGCCAAATTGTGTTTCATCCTGATCTTCTTCACATTTATCTCTGATTCTACTGTGGACGATGCGTAGAAATATTTTCAAAGTGTGGCTCATAAGGCTTATCATTCTATAATCGCTACAGTTTTTCGGACGTTGTTTTTTTTGGTAGTGTTATGAATTCGGACTTTAACCAATCTTCAGGGATATCATCAGTCGAATAAACATCATTGAAAAGTTTGACCAGTATTCCAATGTTCTCCTCATTTATAAGCTTTAACATCTCTGTCGGTATGTTATCAGGGCCAACGGCTTTCTTGTTCTTTGCTAACTTTATAGCATGCAGTATTTATGATTTTAGTATTTCTCGTCCTTCACCTTCAACTAAAGTCTTCGGTTCTTCGGGTCTATCACCATTATACAGTTCACTTATATAATTACACCAGGTTGTTCGAATTTCATGTTCGTCTATTATCATTTTTCCCGACGAATCAGTTATAGTATGTGGAGTTTTCTTATGATAAAGACCAGCTACTTCTCTAACTTTTTTAAACATATTAAACGTATCATGTTTTTCATTCAACTTTTCTAATTCCTTGCATTTATCCTCCATCCATTTTTCTTTAGCCACCTTTATTTTTTGTTTAATTAGTTTCTGTTTTTCCTTATATTCTGTCTTGTTACCTTTAAGTTTCCTTCTCTGCTCCATTAATTCCAGGATATCATCAGTCATCCATTGTTGTTTTTTGTGAATGTGTAACGTTGTTGAATATTTTTCTATTACTTTCAAGGCAAGATCTTTAAATGTGTTCCATATTTCGATGTTGTTTTCATTTATTGATTTCTTTAGCTCATTGTTTAAGTCATTTTCTATTAACGTTTTGTTGGATATTGAGATATTTAATTTTGATGTTTTGGTGCTTTGTTGGGCTTTTTTGAGCTTCACTTTGATGTCAGTTATTACAGGGTTATGGTCTGAACCGATATCTGCACCAGGATATGTCGTTACTCTGGTGGTGATTATTTCGTTATAATCTGTAATTTATTTTTCATTAATAATGACAAATTCTAAAAAAATATACATAACTTATTTTTCAAAGTTTTCTGACACCAGAACATAATTTTTTACAAAAGAAATATAAAAAATAGAATCTCTATTTCTTTCTTGATTTTTTCGTTTCATATAAAGATCGAAGAACAAGGAATTAAAATATATAAACTCTCTAATTAAAATGTATTATTATCAACAAAACTGCGAACTTTTCCAAATGCAATTATTCTTGCAAACATATATGCTCTGTAGTCGCCGCACATGGGTCGAGAACATTTGCTGCACGACATTTTTGTTTTTTTGTCATTTTTTCGATCATAGATACGACATCTCTTTCGTTTCTAGTTCTGATTATTTAATTCTCTGCTCTCTGCTTCCGCTAAAGCTTTCTTTAGTAATCTACTCATACCCATGCGAAGCTGTCTAGGTAATCGAAAATTGTACAGTCTTATAATAAGATATGGTTCTGCAAGTTGTCTTGCAAGAATTTTGTAAAAGGCTTTTCTCTGTATGGCTTGGTTGTTTTTATAACATCCATGTAAAATGTGTGTATTAACACCTGCAATATCCAATATGGTAAAAAAATAGTCATTAGCTATCGCCTAGTTCGCCAGTTTGTAGATTTTGTGGTACATTTTTGATCTAGTGCATCCACACCGCCTTTTGCTATAGAAGCAAATAATTTCGAGTTTAACAGATTCTATGCCCTCACATTCGGTATAGTGCATTGATGATATTAATGCAACTGTCTTTCCTTTTTTTTAACGTAAGAAATTTTAGTGTAGTTATTTGTAAAACGATAAATGCAAGATCCTTCAGCTCTGCTACGACTTGGAACGAGCTGCGTAGATATTTCCTTTTTGTTTCGCTTGAGCGTGTCAACACAGGTCAGTCATTGTTTTTAAATGCATCCTTTACTTCTATGGATAAAAAGCAATTGTCTTCTGTGACAAATCCTATCAGAATTTACTCGATTCAACACAATTCTCCCATAGAATAACAGTCTAAACAATTTTTTATGAAAAGCTTAAATAACCAAAGCACTGCTGCAGTTTGATCATTAGTTTTCCATTTTTCTCGATCATATGCATTATCAAACCTAAAACAAAAGCAATAAAATATTTCTTCTTCTTCATGTACCATGTCCTTTCAGAACGTTGGTTACCATCATAGCTATTTTAATTTTATTCACTGCCACTCTAAATAGCATGCTTGTATCTACACCATACCAATCTCGCAAGTTCTTCAACCATGAGGTTCTTCTTCGTCCTGGACTGCGTTTGCCTGCTATTTTTCCTTGCATGATATTTTGTAGCAATCTATATTTGGGACCTCTCATTACATGTCCGAAATATTCCAGCTTTCTCTGCTTGATGCTTTTTATGATCTCAGTAGTCTTGCTGAGACGTTCTAGTAATGTGGAGTTACGAATCTTCTCCACCCAGGAAACTTTTAAAATTCTTCTATAGCACCACATTTCGAAAGCCTCAAGGCGATTTAGATCGATTTTATTCACAGTCCAGGACTCGACAGCATAAAGTAAGACCGAGAACACGTAGCAGCGAAGTAGGCGGTTCCTCAAAGCCACTTTTAGGTCTCTGTTACCTAACACCTTGGACATCCTTCTAAAAGCAGCTCTAGCCTGCTCTATTCTGGATCTAATTTCGCCGTGATTTTCTGCATTACAATTTAATTGCTGTCCAAGGTAGACGATTTTATCAACTTGCTCAAGTTTGTATAAAATATTTACACTAACTATTTAGTCAACAAACCTTAGACATGCGAGCAACACATATACTCTTTTCAAAGACGTAATGGATCTGAATATATCTCGTCCCGTTCCATCTGTTGCAAATATTTCTTGCAAGTCTTCATCATTGCACTTAAGATAGCGAGAACTGCTCTAAATTCTTCCTTTGTTAGTTGTCTCAGATCTGTTCTATCACAATTGCTAAATTTATATTGAAAAAACAATATCTTTTCATTTGTCCGTAGAATGATTTCATTTTCTATGTCCTCTGTGAAAAGTCAATAGTTTCATGTCCCCTTTTACCAGATTGTGTTTTTTGTTGTAATGTTCAAATCTGGATTGGCCGGAAAAGCAGACCACTTGTATCGATTTTTACCAAAATAAAACTTTCCAGTTGTTGTTTTTGGTTCCTCTTCTTCTTCACCTATAGGCCTGACTTTGTTGTTTTTCAGCATTG